CTATGAAGGCGAACCCAGATTTCAACGTTATTGTCGGCGGTCGAGCCTACGACCCATCTCCTTACGTGGCCTTCGCTGCCTTTGCGAGAAGAAAGCAATTGGAAGGCAAGGACACTGCTTTGCCAGAGAGTCAAAAGATGTGGGGAGCCTTGACGCACTTTGGAAAACTCATGGAGTGTGGTGGACAGTGTGCAACGCCCAAGAGTCATGGTGCTAGCGTATGTCTATACGCCGACGGGACGTTCGATATTTCGCCCTCCGAGCCAACTGCTCGGTGCACGCCCATCACGGTGGCTGCCCATACGCTGTACGAGAAAACGCGACCTGATATCCTCAGCGGACCCGGCGGCTATCTCGATCTAACTGCATCAACATACGAGCAGCTAGAGGATGGCAGAACGTGTAGGGTGCGCGGCGGTCTGTTCAAATTTTCTCGAGACCTAGGGAAGCCGTACCAGGTGAAGCTCGAAGGGGCGTCCATCGCTGGTTATCGATCCATGTACATGGGGAGTCTCAAAGATCGTAAGTTTGATGCGTATTCCATGTTGGCGCTAAAATTGAATGCTGGATCTTGCGCTAACGACTTCTAGCCATTCTGATCAATGAGCTCGATGGATTCCTGGAACAAGTCAAGTTGTACGCCACTACACAGCATGAGGGCAATGAAGGAGAGTGGGAACTGGACTTTCATGTATACGGAGAAAACCAGGTCTCGGCACTGCCCGAGTCCGCAGGCCAACCATCAGAGATCTTCCTCATAGGCGAGGCACTCGCCACCACACAGGCGCTGGCTACCAGCATCGTCTCGACTGCACGGGTAGCTACAATCGTAAGTCTGGTCTTGGCACTATCGTCTGGGGTCGACGCTGACAGAACAAAGCATGGAAGCTATCCAGGCCAGAAAGCGACATCCGGAAACTTTGCATACGGACACGGCGGTAAACTTGAAGTGGAACTGGGACCTTGCGCGCAATTCTCCATTTATCATCTAATGGACCTCAACGAAGGCGAGGAGAGGCTTCGGATCGATGGTAACGACACGTCCTTGTTCTCACAGGATATCTCCATCATTGGCCGAGGAGAAGAAAGAAAACGGTCGTCAAATGGAGTGATTCCTCCGCCCAACAGTGCAACGAAGCCTGCTGTAAAACGGTCTTTGTATGACTGGACCAGTAGGAGCTCGAAAAAACGGCCACGCAGCGAGCAGGACCTACCCGCAGTTCTGGGTGATGTTGCGCGTATTCTACGGTCCAAGAACGCGGGGCCATTCGAAATCACCTTCGACGTCATGTTCGACAGGAAAGAGATCTACGAGTTGGTGAAGAACTCGAACATACTCAACAGCACCGCCGTCGCAAAGCTTGTCGGGGTTCAGGAAGAGGACATCGTATGGTGCGGCTTCTACGACCAGGCTCTTGGATTCAAGGTGACGATCCCGCGGCTACGGCGGAATAAGCCTGTAGCAAGTGGAGGGTTCATGGAGAACGATGTGCAAGCATCACAAAAGTACATCGGCCTCCTGAACATGAAGCTGCCGGACATCTTCGTCCAAAGCTGGAAGGAGCTGAGCGAGCATTGTTGACACAGCCTTCGTTCTGGGGGCCGTTAATAGTCGACATGCTAGTTCTGCGATGGCACGACACCGAAGTCAAACATTTGCCACAAGGAATCGCCCCACATATCTTCTGGAAGTGGGAAGTCCATGGACCCAAAGTCTGGCATGACATTCGGATCAAACCCCAATCCATCGGTAGTTTGGTGCTGGTCGAAACTGAAACTAACTCTGTTCGTCTCCGGTTCATGATTGGCATTGGCCACTGGCTCTTCGAGCTCTGAGGGCTCATTTCGTAGCTCGTGGCCAGTACTGATTGCATCGTAGACGAGGGATGCGCTCATACGGTTGTCAACCCGGAGTTTTGTTTGGTCGAGGTTGACGGGTTGTTGTCGGCTAAGGCTTTCGAAAAGTATAGCGACTCTTGCTCTTTCGTCTTGAGGATGTGTGGAACCAGTTTTGAAGTAATGATGTGCCTTAGCGACATGGTTACATGCCAACTCTCGTTCCTCTGCGGACGCTTGATTGCTCAACACAAAGTAACGGAGGAGAAAGACCGTAGCTAAAGCAAGGCCGCGAAAGTAGATCTTCGGAAATGTCCTGTGTAGTACGGCGTCAGGTAGGTCGCCGAATTCTTCGGTTCCATAACTGAGTTTTCGATCGCACAAATATATTATTCGGAGTCCCACCGAGAGGCCAAGTTTTGTGAAGATGTCGCGTGATGTCAGATCCGATTGCATGCGGATGACGGTCATGGTGTACAAATGCAGTTTTGCTACTAGTAGACTGAACTCCACCCTTGGTGTCCACTCTACGGAGAGTCTGCCTCTTAGGCCATCCAGTTCAGTATCGATAACTTTGACAAGGGACTGGTTGATAGTCTCCCCCGTGTCGTCTAACAGAACAGTCGTGTATTTCGCCAATGTATGCTGCACCATAATCTGGTAGGCAAACTCCTGGGGAATCGGGTATTCGCGAAGAAATTGTTCGATCGTAGCCAAGTCTGAATTGCCACTGATTGGAGGTGGAAGACCCACGAACATGCTCAACCTGGAAGTGAAATATACGTCAGCGTGAGCTGGGTGGTATGATGTTATATTCACTTACGATGTACTTGAAAGAAAGCAACCCAACCAGGTGTTCGCTCTCGCGCGTGGAGATCCGGATGGAACTCCGATACTCCGAAGGGACTGAGTATGTTTGGGATGGTGAATTCCCATATACATGGCAGCGTTAATGGCGGCCCCAGAGTAGAGCCAACTAGGGTCGTTTGTTTGTCGTTCTGCAGGCAATGGCCACATGAGCAAAAGCTGAAGTGCTTGGATTGTATGCAGAGGCACAGGGGCTTGCAGTACATTGGCCCGCAGCTGCTGTAGGAAGAAATCGTCTAAATGGCTAAAAAGCTCCCCATATGATGGTCTGATCTCGTGTGACGTGACTATTGCCACTATGCTCCAGAACAGGAGTGGAGCAATGGCATGCATGGACCGGATCGAGACTGTGGGGTTGATGATTGGAAAATGAGGGAAGAAAAGATTACAATAGCTATAGGTAGAAGACTACCCGTTAGTGGATGGGAGTGTAGTATATATGGGCCACACTTACATCCGGAAGATGTCAACGGTAGTTGCCTTGTCGATGATGAAATCGCCTAGATGAAAGGTCTCTGGAAGAGCTTCGGACTCGTCCAGGACCGCCGTTCCTACAGGCACAATCGAGTAGGCGGGACTCGACGATTCGTCTCTGGTGGAGGGTGATACAGTTGATTTGCTACCATCTTCATGTCTCTGGCTTTTCAATGCCTCTAACTCTCGAGCCATATCTTCGACGCGCCTGCAATACTGATGTCAGAGGTACTGCTACTATGGTATGCATAAAATGATGATTGAAGTGGGAGTACATACTTCCGAGCCGGTGTGCGTCGGAACGAAGAATCTACTATACATTGGTGACCCCGTAACTGACATCTGGAGCATGGTGCTGGAAACTTTGCTCTCGAGTCGCAGCGGAGCTACGTCATGGTTAGACTGGTCTTCACAGAGGGATAGTTCCATACCTTGACCTGCTTGCATTCCGTGCAAGTCTTCACCGGCCGGTGGACGGACCTACTTAGTGCAACAGAAGCCATAGGTGATCGAGTTACCGGGAGGCTGGAGCTAGAGAGGGGGTATGACAAGATGCGCGAGAGGACGTAGAAGAACTTTAATCTATCGCAGTTCCTTGCAGGATAAGCTTCTTACTTCTTACAGAAAACCCTGTTCACGTGTGCTCTGCCTTATGGGGCTGTCGGTGTTGGAGCTCGCGTCCTCCTGAGCAGGACGTTGGAGTTGCTCTGCCTCGCACTCGCACGAGAGATTTTGTGGCCCCAACTGACGGGTTTGGCCGTTCCGGAAACTCCAAACAGCTACCCGATCGAGGTGGAAAGCGGGGGTATGATTCATTCATGAAGCGCTAACGGCTGAGACTGATTCGAGCGGTAGAGCGAGGGGAGCTATTTGGGGAGAGAGTTGAGTAGACGGGACGTAGAGTTAAGCATGGGCGTGTCCTTAACCAATCAGAAGCGATTCTGACTTGGCAACGGCTCGGACATACAGCACTTCAACTCCCTCACCATGGCCCATCTCCGTCGTCTTGCCTTCAAACCATACCACTGTGGTAAGCTAAAAGTCCCCGGACACAATGCCACCGGCCGGGCGAAAATATGTCAGAGAAATCGGGTGACTAAGCGGGTCGCTGTACCTTTTTTCCGCCCGGCCACGTAAGACTTGGCACTGTAGTTTCAGGCATCCCGCATCCTGCTGTTGTGCCTCCTTCCATCGGGCATGAGCAATATATAAGCTCAATATTCCGTTCGTAACTCCTCAACTCGTCGTCTTCCGCCCCATAGCCTTACCTATGTTTCACCTCTTAAGTCTTTGCATCCCTCTCCACGGGCTGGGGCTCCATCGAAACCTCTACTACCTTGGTGTAGGTAGATAAGAGGTTTCTGCGTGCTCATACGACGAACTCCATTTGCTTTCAGCGCGCGCTGAGTGGTTCGTTTTGTGGACTTATTATATCAGAACCATAGATCTTGACGAATCATGGTTCTAAGAGTCACGCTGAAAAGAAACGAGGCTCGGCTGTGAGCTCGCGCAAATCTTCTCTGTTTCTGACTCATAGTTCGTCACGATGACTCCTAGGTATAAAAGCCCCATCGTCTATCTCTCTCTCTCCTCCTCTCTCACTCACACACACACACACACACACACACTTCATCAGAATATAAATTCTATCAGAATACGAGATTGTACTTCATAGGTGTTTACCCTGTAGCAGTACCAGTATGGAACGCCAGCACCCGCCAGTTGTCTTGTTACGGGCAACCATCATCTCTGTACGTACCTATATTTCATCTCGTCCCTATACTAAAGGCCCCTAACTCTCAGCCACCAAACTCTACATTCTCGTTGGTGTAGTTCAATGGCAGAATACCGGAATTCAGTCCCGGAGATCCAGGTTCAATTCCTGCGCACCGGCCCTTAACAGAGTTTGGTGGTTACAATCTCTTTCCACTTCTTCCGTCCCCGTCCTCACATACCTGCATCGCCCCTTCCACCTGCACTTTACCCCTCAACCACCAAACTCTATACTCGTCGGTGTAGTTCAATGGCAGAATCCCCTACTTTACATTGGGAGATCGAGGTTCGATTCCTGCGCGCCGGCCATATTCACAGAGTTTTGGTGGTTACCCTTCCTTCCCATCCTACCGTCCCCATCTCTATATTTCTCCCTTCACCACACTCTACTATACCCTACCCTTCCTTACTGCACTCTCGTTTGTCCCATCAGTGTAGTTCAATACCAGAACGAAGAAGCGATCGAAGGGTGGAGGACCTATATTTAGTCTCTGCAATGTACATAGTCGAACATCAAACCATGAGTCCATACCACGAACCAGATTCAGCGTTTCACATAGTCCGCAAATAAACATGCTTGCTTCGCCGAAAATATATAAATTTTTGGGATCCCAGGAATCCCACTGGGAGTGACATACAGTTTGTGCCCGGAAAAGTAAGCCCGCGGCAGCTAATATATACAAAGAAGCGAAGCGACGTCACACGCGGAGAGCATGCAAACTAACCCTCGTCACAAAAGACTGCGCGCCGCGCCAGAAAAGAGTGCCCCTCCTCTACTACCTCTTGCTTCGCTTTTACGCAAAGTTCCCTCCGGCCGTCGTCTTGCTGTTCTCCTTAATGCTCACATTCTTGACGACCACAACACCACCCTTGCTGCTCGTAACCCGCACATCGACAGCATCGGTGCCAAACCCGCTCGAGTTCTCGAAGAAGTTGTACTCCTTGCGCGCGGTCGCCTTCCAGCTCTTGCCGCCGTCGGTCGAGACCTCAAGTTTCGCGACGGGCTCGTTGGCGTTCATGACCTGCATGCTGAACCAATATTTTGATGTGCCGGACTTGTTCTGGAGGATAAGCGGTGAGGTGATGCCGCAGGGGACGGGCGTCCACGACACGTCGATTATGCCCTTGCTCTTGGGCGCGAGCTTGGCGAAGGCGTCTTCGAAGAGGTCGAGGTCGACGGGGCAGGAGGGGCATTGGTCGACGATCTGGGGTGGAGTATTAGTGGGTGTAGAATGGGGTTGGGCATGTATGTACGTACCATGGCTTTGATGGAGTTTCCGCCTGGTCCTTTGATGGAAATGCAGGAGCCGCAGTTTGCGCTGCCGGCCCAGTTAACGCCTGCGAGCGCGACGCCGAAAGTACCTGCTGGGATGGTGTAGCCGGTGAAGGAGCACATGCCGCCGCCGAGATTGCCGCCATAGAAGCTCGCTTTTCCGGAGCTTGCACTAACAGCTTTTTTGCTGATCGGAGCGCTGGCTTCGACGGGGATGGGCTCTACGGGGAGAGTTGGGTATCCGGGAGCAGTGGTGTCCGAGGGCATGGGGGTAGCATAAGCTTCTGAGCTAGGGATGGCGGCCGATGACCTAGGTTGAGTGATCGAGGAGCTGAGGTAGAAAGATGGTGGCGGTGCCTCTGGTTCCGCAATGGACGAGGGTAGCACGAATGCGATAGTAGAGAAAGAAGTTGGGACCTGGACGGTGTAGTTGGCGGTTCCGTTGGGGTAAGGGAACATTGGCGCAGAAGACGGCTTCATATAGACAGTGGAAGACACCGCGTCGGAAGGGACGGCCGGTAGTGTCACGGTTTCAGTTTCAGTCGCAGTGATGGTGTATGTCTGCTGGGTGCATGGCTTTTGTGCCATGGCGAGACCCAAAATGGGTAGGATGCAAAGTATTGAGTTCATCATAATGGCCCGGTATGCTTTTGAGTAAAGTTTAGATTTGAAAGATGATCGTATGAAGTGGAAGACGTCTGTAGAGAATGGACGAGTCGATGACTCTGTTGTAACGAGTAATAAAGAGAGAATGTAATGAAGCTACCAGCTCCTAGCCTGCGCGAGAATGAACGAGAGTGAGTGATGAAGAAGATCGACTTGAGAAGAAAAAGATCAACAAGAGTGGACACCGGTTTATGTAGTCATAAATACCTCCCAGCAGGTGGACCATTTCCTGTGCCGCCACATGTGGAGATTATAAGGGAACCCAAGTGGAGTTAGCCGCTCACAGCATCAGCCCCTGCCGCCGACGAAACAACAAATTGACCAGCAAAAACACACCATCACCACGGGTAGATCCACTGGTCGACAAAAGACGCGAACGCCAGTGTGACGCCACAGAGTCCAGCCATCGCGGAACCCACCATAGCGTGTCTTATGTGGAAAAGCACCTATTTCGCCCCAGACGCGTGCCCGTCCATGTCCCAATCGCGATTCTTGTCCCAGCCCGAATCATCAAGCCGAACGCGACGAGACACTCTGAATCCGGGAATCTTGTACTCCCCGCGTGCTTGGGAGTAATTGCAAAGGTCTCACGAAAAACAAGCTGATAGATTCATAGATGGACGAGCCTCCGGCATCCGAGATTGATGGGCAAGCCAGACGTCGATCAAACGTCGCCGAGATGAATCATGGATAAGGCGTGGAAGATATGATTGGCCATACACTCGACGGTCAATTATAATACCGAAGCCGAAGCCGGATCAGCTAGGGGGCTGCCCAGGAGCTTCTAACTCTTTCATCAGCACATCATATCTCATCACACAACACTGACGCTGACGGGTGGTGTGTTATTATGATTAAGTTTCCCTGTCGTGCGCTGCGAAAGCGGAGAGCCCCGAGGGGAAGAAGATGCGGTCAGTTTTGAGTTGACGGGTTTGTGTCGCCTCGCTTACAACGCACAGCCTTGGCCTCCTTCCGAACCTCAACCCCGCTTCTGCTGTCCACAACCAATTTCACACATTCTCGCGATCAATATCAAAATTCCGACATGCAGACGCATTCTTTGTATCGCCACACAACTATCTCGATCCATCGCGTTTCCTAGTCTGCAGACTCGTCTGTGGACTGCTAGCACAACGGTGGTACCACCCAGCTTTCATCAGCATCTCTCTGCAATACGTCGGTGTCGTCTAGTGGCAAGATACCCTCATTTTCCGAGGAAGACCCAAGTTCGATTCTTGTGCGCCGGCCATAAATATGAGAGATGCTGTTGGGACTGGGCTAGGTTGGCTGAGATGAGCTGTGCAGACTATGAGTCAGAGGGCGGAAGTATCCATCCTGTGCGAGAACCGGACTTATTGCTAACGAAGAGTGCTACAGTTGTTCGCAATCTTCATTCCACAACAATGCAGAAATTATTCATACCCGACCCATGCCTCACACTCTTCTTTCCCGTTTTAGCGCCGTTCCCTTCACCGGTCGACGTGAACAGGTAATAACAAAGCTTCGCAGTGGCCTTGTTGTTCGTTAAGTCGAAGCCGAGGTTCGTCATGATGCGTAACAGCAGCTCCTCGTCTAGGTACCGTGAGTTTTCGACGCAGGGCAGCGGCAAGACGAAGAATAGCGCTGGCAGTACTGGTTTGGTGCCGGAGTGGGGAGCCTCAAGTTTGCGTAGGAATTGGGCAATGCGTTTCAGCATCTCGCCGCGTCCCACGGGATCTGGGACATAATTTAGCACCAAGGAAAGAGAAACAATGTCAAATTGATCGGCGCTTGTTGTTGGTAGCGGCCGTTCCATGAAGTCCTGTTTCTGGATGCCGGGCCCTTGGCTGTTGAGGTCGATGCGTGTGACGTGGATAGTTTGTGGATATTGCGAGATCTCGTTCGTGGTCGATAGGGCTCCGACTTCTAGCAATCGATACGGTGCTACATGTCCGCCAGACCCCTCTTCTGAATGTGAAGCTTTCGGCCCCAGCAATTTGGCCTGTTGCAACCATTCTACCAAGACTCTGCTCGAATCTCCACCGCGATCCTTCGACTGGCCCTGCTTGCTAGCTGCTTGGTACACCTTCAAGCCGCCATTCTTTTCAATAGACTCACTGACGCGCTCTGCGGTCTCGACGTCTCCCTTTCTGATAGCCGCTGCATGCTCTTTCTGTAATCGGTGATGGGTGCGAATGATAGTGCGGGATTGTTGAGAGCTCATACGCTCTTGGACTTGAGCCCGGGGAGGCCGACCATGTGAGAGAGATTTTGTACGCTTGTTGACGACCATAGTGACCCCGTGCGAGGTGTCGTCCGGGGGTCACAACCATGGATACCTACATGAGGCAAAGAGCAAAACGGATAGCGCCAAGGGTTTGGTGTTTTGGCGCTAGACCGATCGGGAGTCTTTAGCGAGGCACCACACAATCGTTGTCGCGAACTTTCGACTTTGCATCTCCCTCTCCAACTCCGACAACGACACCCTCGACCATCGCCATGCCGCCAAAAGGAAACACGAAGGGTGCGTACTGCAATTCTCCATACTGGACGTTGAGTTCTTTCAGCTCGCTGCGCTATGCCGAATACGCTCTTGTGGTCAACCAACACAGGATAAATCATTTGGTTGAGCGAGCGAGCGAGCGCAAACAACCGCCCGCAGTCCTACCCGAGCATAGAATCGTCTGTGGAATCATTACTAACAGCATGTAGGCCCGAAGCCCCAGAAGAAAGCCAATGCGGCTGCAAAGGCGGCGCTCAAGGGCGTAAGACCCCCATAAAGACCTACAAGTCGTGTCAGAACCTCATCTCTGACCGCCTGGCTTCTCGTATGAACACTCATTAACGAGAGTCAGGTGAACTCGAATAAGGTCCGGAAGATCAGGAAGTCGACCACGTTCCGTCGCCCGAAGACGCTCGAGCTGTCGTGAGTACCAATACCTTTCTGTACAATCTCAGATGAAGGAGACGTTTTGCTAACGGTGCATACAAAGCCGAACTCCCAAGTACCCCCGCCACTCGATCCCTCACCAGCCCAGGCTCGATGCCGAGAAGATCCTCATCCACCCGTTGAACACCGAGTCGGCTATGAAGAAGATTGAGGAGAACAACACACTCGTCTTCATCGTCAACGTCAAGGCCAACAAGCGCCAAATCGCCAATGCGCTCAAGAAGCAGTACGACGTAGACTGCGTCAAGGCAAGCGACCCTAGACACCATACGCTGTCGCATTCAGTTTCTGACTTGAAATACAGATCAACACACTCATCCGGCCCGACGGATCGAAGAAGGCTTTCGCACGGTTGACGGCTGACGTTGATGCTCTGGACATTGCGGCTACGAAGTTGGCTATTGTCTAGGGAATTCAGTTTAGCGCAAGTATCAGCATGACGGGGTCTGGGATATCTACCTGTCAAGAAAAATGGATTCGGTATGCATGGCGTTCATGGGCATGTAGTCAACGACGACTCGAATGAATCAAATTTCACCATGGCGCCCATCTACGGATTGAGCCCAAAAAGCGACTGCTGATCACCTCCCGTTGATATCGTTGATATGGATGCAATGTGTACCTTGAAGCCATATCCATGCAAACTTCACCCATGCGAACTTTCATGCTCAGCGAGATGAGATGAGACCTTTCCATTCGTATTGACCCCCATGTATAACCCATATCAGCTCTGCGACCCAAGCCCACCCCTTCTATGCATACACACGCATATTGTACATGCCATTCAACCCACCAGCCCGTTATATCATACACGTGCACCCCTCCCCCCGTTATTTCCTACTGCCTCAACCTCTCCAACTCCTTCACCACCACCATATTCGCATCCAAGAACCGGTCCACGCACTGCCGCAAACATGGCTCCTCGTACCGCGCGTCCAGCTTGCCCGTCTTGACCGTGCCGGCGGATATGCACTTGCGGAAGCACATGTCGGTTAGGGAGTGGATTGCTGTGATAGAGGTGTTAGCGGGTGGGTGAGCGAGTGGGCGAGGTAGGTAGAGTTGAGAGGGAGGGAGGGTGGCGTGGATGTAGAGTAGAGAAGAGTAGAGTAGACGAGGTAGAACGCACACGACTGGATCCGCGCCCTCTGGCTCTCGTTTATGACAAACTGCTGCAGTTCCTGCTTGTCGCGGTCGCTGAGCTTGGAGAGGTCGGCGTTGCCGAGGCTCGAGCCCGCGTCGCCGGAGAAGTCCATTACTGCCGCTACTTCTGGGAGTCAAGAGGTTGGATTGGGTTGGGCTGGCTGTGTTCGGTCCGGTTCGATTCCGCTCGGTTTGGTGCGTGGATGGGGCGATCGAGTACAGTAGAAGCGTATGCTGGCCTGGTCTGGCTTGAGAAATTATGGGATGGGTCGGAGGTTTGCGGTTGGGGTTTCGCCGACGGGTGTGGTCCACGGTGGTGGGTTAGTCAGCTGAGCTCCACCACCCAACGTTAACAGTTCACGAGGATCAAGTAGTAGGTGGATTCAGGTTGCAAGTGTATAGATGGAAAGCGGTAGATTACTATTCGGTATAGAGCCACTTGCAACATCAAAGTCCATCTAAATGCACAAGAAGAAAGCGCCCGCAATGTCCCACTGTCACCCTGCTATGCGCATCTACGTGACCGCAACCTATCTTTGTACACTCTCGCCTTCACAAGCCCTCCTTAGACATTACTTAGTATACTATATACACCAGGGCTTTGTAAAGATCAAGGTAAAACTATATTCTTCTTGCTAGAAACTCCTACACTGTCAAGAGGATTGCCCGAGTCTAGTTTTGTGGTAATCACGCACCAATCAGCTCCTTGGGTATACACGCAAAGACGGTGCTGACAACTGCCATGATGCTACTCACGACAATCAATATCCAGTTCATCGTCTTCTCCGTCTTTCCAAGCTCTTTGCCAAAGAGCTTCAGGTGGAATGCGAGCGGCAGGATGATGCAGATGGAGAAGCACGCTACACTGCCAAGCAGGGTCATGATGCGGTCGAAGGACGGGAAGATGATGGCAATGACAACGAACATTGCGATTGTGAAGATGCGTAGGAGGAATTTGAAGATGCCTCGGTTTAGGCCGGACATGCCGTTGAGAGACGATGCTACGGCCATGGATCGTGTGTCTAGCCCGAGGACGATTTCGAGTGTGGAGATTATAGGTCGTGCATTGAGGGGGATCTTGGTGAGCGGGATGATGGCGATGCAGATGGCGATGAAGACCGATATTCCCTTGGGGTACCCTTTGGTGAGTAGGATGTTGCCAGTGATTTCGTCCCGAACACTATCGCCGAACATGAGAATTCCGGCACATGCCATCCCAACATCGATCAGAAAGGTGAAGATATACGTAATATCAACTGCCTTGCGGTACTTGTACGGATGACGCATATCGCGGTAGATGTTGGGGAATACCGAGTGACCTCCCCAAGGCGACATCAGCAGGCCGAGCGAGAGCGGGAGAGTTAGCCAATTCGCCGGAAAAAGGTGTTGAGTTGCCGGCTGGCGGAGGGACCCGGGTGAATCTGGCTTGAAGAAGCCATCGGTCCAGACAGCTATCAAAACTACGATTGGGTCAGATCGTGAAGGCGGATTGGTGTTGAGTCTACTTACTGCCAAAACAGGACATTACACCTAGGATAGAGGTGAACGAGAGCAATCGCAAGGGGAGAAATCCCAAGGGTATTAGGATGACGCCACAGACTATCTTCCACGTGAGGACATCCCAACCAGGGACCAGATCGTCCATGCTGTCGGCAAAAAGGACCACGAGTGCAACACAGGCGGCCAAAAGCTCAAGCGAAAACAGAATACTCACAGCAACTCGCGCGCGGGTACCGAAGGCGACATAGGCGAGATCGGCAAAGGTGATCAGAGAACTGTCTACGTCGAGACATTTGGCAAGCAATTTGGCTGTGTATGCGGTTGTCACCGCCGAGAATGCTAGGAATGTTAACCCGAAGACCAACCCAGAGTACTTGAGCGCCAATGGTAAGGCTAGCAGCCCAATACCAACGAGCACATTGACTGAGTTGAAGACGGTCTGTGGGAGTGTGGACTGGCCGACGACAACGTTTATTATCTTGCCGTCTTCTTCAATTTGTTTGACGAGCAGCGGCTCCCGCTGTTGCTCTGGCACTGTAACCCCTTTCATCTGCTGCTCCGTGAACAGCCGTCCAGCATGGCGCATCGAGGACTCGTTGACATGAGCGGAGAGACTACCATAGGACGTGCCGTAGCTTCCACCGAAGGGCGATGCTAACGATGGCTCAATTGTGAATAT